CTACGTGTTTTGCATGCCAGGGATTAAGTGGCATGGTCCATGATCGGACAAACACTTGAAAAGATTCCAAATGCAAGATGCATACATTTACTGTTTTAGTAAGAAAGTTCGAAAATCCGAGTTATAACTAACAACACACGTCAACCGGTGGCGAACCTATGTTCTATTCACATGACACCTCTTACATTTTAAATGTTTTTCTTCTAATTGTTGTACGTATGTAAAAAATATTGAGAAACGTACCGCTGATCATCTAACAAAGAATTTAACTGTTTCAGCTGTTTCACTTACCTATTCATATGTTCCTAGATCTCTTGTACCGATATTACATTGGGGTCATATTTCTTCTAATCAATGAATGCAGGTTTGTTGTAAAAACAAAAAAAGGGCATAATGGATAAATTTTAGTCATTTGATCCCATTATATATAGGTTTAAACTTTTTTTTTTTGTTAAAGTATATAGGTTTAAACTTTTAACTATTATTTTATTTTATTATTCACGACGAGAGAAATCTAATGTACTGTCACATTTGGATATATAATACGTAGTTACAAAACCGAATCAAATCCATGAATCTCCTTTTACCTGTTCTTTCCTTAGGGAGTAATGGATATTACAACTACCGAGGTTGCAGACCATGTAGTTGGAGGGGTGATGGCATGCGATAGTTCCCGTTTTGATATAATCATAGAAAAAGGAATACCGTTGGTTTTAAGTGTAGGGGCCTTTTAGATATGGTGAACTCTGATAGAAAAGACACAATACCCTCTCATCTCCAAACAAGAAAGATTCACGTTCACAATGATCAGGTGAGGAATCAATTGAAAAAGTGCTTCTTATTGCCCTTGAACAATGGGTATCATGCTAAGTTTTCTTTAATAATAGCGTAAGTTTACGCGGGTAATTTTTATTGTGTTTTTCCGCTTATTAACGCGAGTTTTATTCTAGTATATTATAAAAGGAAACAAAAAGAGAGGATTCAAATTCAAGAGGAGAGAAGAGATAGAATCTTTACTTATTTGGGCTAATTTTGAAGTTCTACGAAATATTGTGATATTGGATGGATGGGCCATTCGTCGACCGTTGTTCATGCATGTCCAAGCTAAATTCAGCGAGTCAAAGAGGCAATTTCATCATCCCATCTAGTTTTATAATTGGAAAATGTAACATATGTATCACTATTTACAGTATATTGCTCATACATCATTCCGGGCAATTATGTCGAAGATTGTGTATGCAGTTTTCATGTGGCTGAAGTTGTGCGTAGAACCAAATTCGCAGTTCTCTTTGTTCTGTATACAAGAGCTTAT